AAAATTTATAAATATTTATTAAAATATGGAGCATGGAGATAAGTATTGGATAATTAATATTTTTTTAATTTGATGTATGTTGGACCAATATTGGTTTTAGTTTTAAACAAATTTATGAAACTGTTAAATAATACTCCTATGTAAAAATCATTTTTTGAAATCGTATTATTTTAGTAGTGGATTTAAAAAAATATAGATTTACATGTACTGGTTTTCTTTACCTTGAAATATCCATACAGGATGATTCTTAAATAGGCCGACAAAATTTTATCACAGCTTCTCAAGAATAAATGGAGACAAACTGTACTCTTTTTACGTTTATATCTTTTAGAAGCAAAACTGCCTTGAGTGTTGAGAAAAATTACAGCTTTTCAAAAATCGGACTGAAAAATGATTTTTTTGAAATATGTTTGTTACCGTTTATCCGATTATTATGAAACTTTGCATTCCAGGAGAGAAAAAGACTTTCTTTGATGTGGTGTAAACGGAAATCTTGTAAAAGCTATACATTTCCGGTGACAATGGGACCCTTTCAATTTTTAGGTCATAACTCTTTTTTTCAGCTTATTAACAGGTATTTTTAATGCCAACAAAAAATTAAAGCCCAATTATTTTTTCATAAAAAAGTACTCTTGTTTCATTTCGCTAAAATGATCCGTTCTCGAGTTATTTTGGTTTAAACTAAACTCTACAGCGTGCTGCAAAATCAAAAAGTATGAATTTTGAGCGTACCATTACCTTAGAAACAATTCACTACGAATGACATAGCTGTCAATGCTGTCACATTTCATGTCGATTTCATTTAATGCAAAGTAAAATTTGATTATTTCTTGATGATCATAGTAAAACACATGATTATATGTTGGAAGAGACAATGCATGAGTTGGCATAGTTACCAACAAAATTTAATATGAAATAATATAAAATTCATAAAAGACAAAACATAATTCCAAAACAAAAGTCAAATTTCATGGGATCAAAATATTATAAGTAATCTTATTGTGGCACAATTTTGTATGTTTTTTTTAACAATATAACAGAAATACAAAAAAGTCATTAAGTATACTTGACAGTTTTTTTAGTAACATAAATCCGTATTGGATTTTTTATGAAAGTTCTTTGCTTCAAAATTTTGTTTCTGACGACAAAAAGGTAGTAATTACTACCTATGTACCTAAATTAGTATTTACATACATAAAATAACTAAAATAGCAGAAATATAAAAATAACACAAAAGAATGTAAAGATTAAAATAGGTACTTGACAGCAAAGTATTCAATTAATACATTTTTCAAGTATTTGATAATATTGCAGGTACATACATACATATAAATAACATACTCGTAATACAGTACAAATCTACAAAACCACTTAAGTTCACAAAGATAAAATGTTTAAATATAAATATTCTTATAAATTTGCTTGCCTTTAACATACAGGATTATTCTTAAATATGAAGCAATATTTGTACTTCAAAAATTACCTCTAAAATGATGTTAATTTATATAATAACTGGTGTCCTATCTCTACTGATAAGAATTTGACAGCCCTCGAATGTGGGTATGGAAATTTATTTATTTTTTTGTAATAACTTTGGAATTTTATTAAATATTTTCGATTAATTGTCTAATAACCCTATATACAGGCTGTATTATAAAAAATGCCTCAAGCCATAACTACATTATTTTTAAAAATATGTCAATACTTCTTGGAATAAAGTTGAACAATTTTTTGTCATCTATTGTTTGGCATAGATACTCAATGTTTCACCGGAAGTGACATTAATTTCAGTTTTTTAAATGTAACACCCTGTATATTTTATTATTTTTGGATTCCTCATTAAATTGTATTTCAACAAAGTCACTTACTATTACTTATCTCTAACTTTTAATTTTAGGCAATTTGAAAATTAAATTAAATAAAGTAGGCAGTGGAAAAAATAGAACATTTTTATTCATTTAATCTAAGACAAGTAAACGATTGATAACGAAAAACTGGTCAACTTTGAGCAAAAAAGGTATTATAACGTCTTTAAATGTATATGAATTTTATAGTAGATAACATACATACATGTTCACAAATTCCCAGCCCTAACATGTGACCAAGAAAAAAAATTATAAATCAAACTAAAAATGTAATGCTTTATTATCAAAGCTGATTATGATATAAGTATCAAAAATTAAATATTTTTGAAAATCACGGAAAAATTAATATTCTATTAATTGTAATTTTTACTTGGTAGTAAAGTGGTCAGTATTCCCGCCTGGACTATATTTTAATTTTTTTTGAAAAAAGTTTTATACAACAAACGTAATTTCAAAACTTTTGTTCTTAAATATTTATTCACCTAACTATTGATTTCTTTCAAATCATTTATATTTATTATTATACATATAAGGCGTTTGGAATTAGGGTGGCCTAACCCCAAATTTAGTTTTACTATCAGACAAACTGATTATTATTCAAATTTTAGTAAAACACTCTCCTAACGTTTTAAACAAAAAATATTAACGGTAAGACGACTGTATTTAATACAAAAAAAAAAAAATTAAAGTAAAAAAAAAGGTTAGGCCATTCTAATTCTCAATGCTTCATACTGGGTTATTCATAAATATGAAGCAATATTTGAACCTCACAAATGACCGATCAAATGATGTTAATTTAAATTATAACTCGTGTCCTATCTCTACTGATAAGAATTTTACAGCCCTCAGAATGTGGGTATGGAAGTTTGATTTTTTTGTAATAACTTTGGAACTATTTGACCAAATATTATAAAATTTGGAACATTTCCCTGTGACAACATACCTTTTAAACTGGTAATCACGAAAACCTAATACAACCACTCAATTTCCGGTTCCAGCAGTTGCAGGTCACATTTTCTGTGTTTTTCCATTTTTTTGCTCTCTTAACACCAATTTTTTATTGCCCAAATCGATAGAGTAATCAATTTCGATTAAAAAACGCATAACCTTTAATACCCCTAAAATGGACCGTTTCAAAGGTATTTTAATTTAAACTGAGGACTACACAACGCTGAAACCAAAAAGTAAGGATTTTGAATGGATGGTAAGATGGTATCCACGGTAACAAATGACCATGGTCTTACTAATCGCTGTCAGGCATCTGTCAACTTTGACATTGGACGATTATTAGACAATTAATCGAAAATATTTAATAAAAGAGTTTACCTCAGATTCCAAACATAACTTAGAATAAATCTAAATGGATCTCGTAGCATTTAATTTATAAAAAATTCACAAAAATATATCGTCAAAGTTAACAGCTGCCTGGCAGGGATTTATGTGACCAGGTCATTGGTTGTCGTGGTTGTCAGTATTCACGCTGGTGTTGCCGCTAAGCCATAAACCGTACCCCTTGTAAATCTTCATAATCACCTTCAAACCGAACGCTCGTGCCTGTTTCTTTTGTTGTGAAAATCGAGGGTTTTCGGTACCTACTCAATATGTCTATCCTTGTTTTTCCATGT